TTTTTTTTTTTTTTTTGTGCACAGCCAGTTCTATGGCAGTGTGTACCTCTAGGGCGGAATAATGCAGTGTGGAAATCGCCTTGTTTTGATACAAGCAGAACACTGTCCACAAAAAAATTAACTGAAACTTGCCGTTAAAAGGTTACCGTTTATAAGAAAAAAAAAGCGGAAAGCCGAATAGAACTGTACTGTCGAAAAAAAACTATAGGCAAAATGTTGTGAAACAATAAATCAAATTTAACACATAGACAATTATTAAGTTTGTCCACAGGTAAGGCTGATTTACATAATGATTTTTTGTTTCTCATAATTCAGTAATATAAAAACGCATAATCACTGAAAGAAAATTCGTTGTTTATCTGCTCTTTTCTTAATTTCACTAGTCTGTGTGAGAAGGGTTTGGAATAATTTGTCTTAACTTCTAGAATGGCGAGTCTTTCAGGACAGCAAAATACCAAAATTTTTGACATATTGTGCCTGCACGTTAATTTTTGTAACTAAAACCAGTTTATAATCTACTGAAACAAAAGACAAAAATTAGATAATGCTGATGTTATTTTAGAAAATGTATTAGGATAAGTCAACGGTGATTAACAATAATATTGATTACAATTCATCAAGTACATGATTATACCTCACTTTTCAAAAGGGTTTTTCTAAAGTTAAGATAAATTTTTGGCTTTAACTTTTCCTTTTTCAGAACTACGAAACGTTGCAGCGGCAAGATAATTGTGTAGATTTGTTCAACTTCAAAAAGAAGATGTACTAATATGAAGAATTTCAGACGGTTCCAGATCCTTATTCCATCATGGAATTTTGAAAACAGTCCAGTATAATTTAGTAGCCACTCTATCAAAAACGACAGTTCTTTACTTTTTTCTTTCGCCACTGACGTTTACAGTAAGTGGTAATTACTTATTAAAGTTGGCATACCTTTTAGAAAATGATCAAGATATAGCATAGTTTAGTGAAATGACTCTGGGTACTTGACAGAGTAACTCTACTGAATACAAATAATTCGAAAAATAAACCGTAAAACAGAATAACTCAGATCTGATTGTTCTATAATTGAAGACTGGAGGTTGGCTAAAAACTTCTTTGGCCAGTAATGAGTTTTTCGATTATCCATACAGTAGGATATCCATAAAATCTGTGCATGTCAATCAGAGGTTTTCAAACAGTTCCTTAAGCATTTCCTTTTAGGCCTCTAAAGCAAAAACGAAAATCTTCGGTTAGTTACAATATCATAAAATTTATTCAATTCCCTTTTTCTCTCAATTTTAGTTTTTCTATACATAATTGCTTTCTTTCAGTGCTTATTGCACAAGCGTTTCTTAGTCTTCCATGCTACTACCCCAGTGCGATACCCAGTAGTGGTGTACTATATAAAAAAGGGAGGATAAAAAATTTTACCTTGAGAGTGAATTAATAGGCGATTTTGCGAGAAATACGGCTTGTTGCGGCTTGCCGAAAGTCTCCATAAAATGAAAAGTAACTGCTGTAGATGTTTAACTGGTGTGGCCGTAAAGATCTTGGTTTACTTCACGGTACTGCTGTTGATGTAATTAGAATTTACTGGTCTTATTATCGACCAGAACCTTCAGTGTTTCTACTTTTTTTGCTCTTTGAAGGTCACAGGCGCTGTAGTCCTTAATTATCTTTTCTCAAAGACCCTTACGACGATAAAATACTTGAGCTGACGGGGTAGACCTTCTAGGACAGTCTTGTAACAATCAAGTGCTTTACTCTTCTTCCGATAAGGGCCAAGGAGAAGAAGCTCAAATATTTTCAAATCTCTTCATTCGTGTAACTTGTTTTATACTTGCAATATAAATTTCTTAAAAATAGTTGCCTTTATCGCTCATATAGCTAAAACAATAAGCTTGTCGCTTTTTGCAGTACGTATACTCGATTAGCCAAAACCCACGACCAAATAAAACTAATATAAGTTAAAAAGAAAACTAAACTTGAAACTAAGAAACAACCAACAAATACGAAAATGATATACCGTACATAATAATACTTGTAATCGAAGGTTTAAGCTACATGCTAAACACGATATGTGAACAGTAAGAAACTCAGAAATTAAAGAAAAGGAAGTGCGTACCAATTAGTGGTGAGATTCAGATACTACTTGAATAATGAAAACTTTAAGATTTCTTGATAATTTTGTCGATAAATCTGATAGATCGATGACACTCCTTGATAGTGCCTGATTTTAGTCTGCTCAGCAAGGTCGGTTCTGCGGTCTCTGTAGAAGCTTACCTTTAGGTGTTGCGGTGTTACACCTTACGTTACACCTACGGTCTTTTTTGCGTATAATTGAGGAAAGGCTTTAACAGGTAAAACAAGTCAAAATTAATTTTTTAAGAGAATTTCAACCGTTTTAGAAAAGAACGCAGGGTTGTAAAAAGCCAGACTCTGATTTTTACAATTTCTACCGCTGCACTGATCCAAAGAAGCTAGCAGAATCTCTACCAAAACCCATCACAATTACTCATCACTATTTTTAAAACGTAGTTTAAAATCCAGTTTAGCTTCCTACTTTTACAAATCGGTACACTACAGCGTAGAATTTCAGCGCATTTCACGCGCAGTGGTAACGGCTTTCTAATGGGTAACGCCAGTTGCATATCACTTGTCCTGCGTCGCAGCGCGGTTTCTTTTACACTATGAGCCTCCCTGGTCCTTTATCGCGGTATTCTTGGGCCGTAAAACTGTATCAGTTTCGAGGTTTTTATTTCGGTAGTAGCCTCAACAATTTTTCTCACGCACTAACCAGCAGGGTGAGGCGGTCCACCAGAAGATCATCGTTGAGTAGATTTTGTCCATTTTTAGACTAAAGTATACTAAAGTATACGACTTATTAAAAGACAAATCGTTGTAACCTGAATTAGTTATGGGATTTACGGCAGCAATGTCGATCCATTATTTTTGACTGGAAACGGAAATAAAATAGAACCCACGTTTTTTACATTTTTTGAGAAATAATGTGTAGTGAATCTGTACATAAAGAAGGGAAGCTGAACCGTAATGTAAGTTAAGAAATGCATTGAGTTTTTCTACCAAGTGACATAACTCTTGATTTCTAGTCATCACCTGTACAGGGAGGAATTTGAAGACAGGTTTTTAGAAAACGATATACTTTATAAAACAAAGTAATCTAAAGCCATGCTGAAAAAGAGAAACAAGTTAACTTTTTGACATTCCAGAAATCATTTGGGCTTTCAGAGACATTTGAGAGTTATTGCTTTAATTATAACAGTATGAATCTAAGTACTTGGGGATCCTGGACAGTGAAAATCCATGGCGCGTCATACTGTGTTTACTTTTTGAACGTAAGTTTAAATCTTTTTTTTTTAATTATAAACGATTTGTTAGTTACTGTATTCAGTTTTCTGTTTTACATAGGAACATTTAGACTGGAAGTAAATAGAGAATTTTTCAACCGTGATTAGTAGCAAATACAATTTTAGTAAATATGGAGTTAATTTATAAATGTGCTTGGCTATAGGTGACTGATACTCTTTCTGAGTTGGCCAGAATATGTGATGTAATGGGCGGATCATTGATTTCATTTGACAAAAGTTCAGAGAAGGATTTTCTAGCAGGTTTAGTTGCATTTAAATGGTCGATTTGTGGCTAATTAGTACAATAAAATTCTGCAGTGAAAATAATTAACATTAGAAGATTATTCCTTGTGGTTTTTGTTGAAAAAAGTGTTACAGTAATGTAATAATATTAGTAAATATGATATATTCACTGATAATTTGGCTTTAATAATAATTAAAAAATCTTAATTAATTATTTAGTACTGGTCACGGGTCTTTGTGAACTAAGCACTGGAATTAATTATCCAAATTTAGCTTCATTGTGTGACTGTTGAAGGGAGCACAGTCTAAGGAAGTTTTTTTTTATAGCAGGAGGAATGAATAGATGGGTTCTGCCACCGAGAAATCACACTTTCATTTTGGGAAGTGTATCAGATCTCCGCCGGCAAGCAGAAATTTCAAATTACAAACCAACAAAACTGCGAGCGATTGAAAGCGGCGGCCTTTGTCAACTGTATATTTATTCCAATTTAACTGGACAATGTTTGTATTTTTTCAAAACAGCATAATTAATGCTTTATTTGTATGAAAAAATTGGAATATTTTTTTCTTTTGCTATAATTTATTCACATTTTAAAAAACGTTCAAGTGTTAAGTTTTTGTCATAGAAGTGAATTGGGATTTAAACCTGCATTTTCTGAACTTTATTTTACTCTTTTTACGAACTTTATGTATCTGTCAAAAAAAATGATCTTTTTGTAAAATACACGTCAAATATGTTTCGATTAAAATATCAAAAAAGTTACAGCTTGGTTTGAGGAACGTGACTGCAAAACCTCGAAGGGTAGCGGTTTTTGCGCACAACCATCTGATGTAAGCACTTATAAAACAGCTGTATCTTTATTTTTTCTGCTGAACATTACTAGAACCAGAATTTATAAAACTTAAAAAAACATTTTAACAAATTTAATATCCTCTTTTTTTCTTTACTTTTATCTGTTTATTTTAGGGCCCTTTTGGTAAGCTGAATTCTTGTATTTTATGCAAATGGAATTCTAATGGCATAAAACAGGATGGATTTGTCATTATCTGTTAATGGAATAATTGAAAAATCAAAAAAAATTTTTTTGAAATTTTCGTTATATTCTTTATGTTGATTTTTGTCAATTTTCTAATTCGTCATCTCAATTTTGTAGCTGCAATAACACACATTTTTATCTTCCATACAATGAAACATCTTTACCAGAAAGTTTCGGCAAAGAATAATATTTCTAAAGTATTTAGTGATAACTGGCAAATGTAAACTATATCCTAAACATGAAGCGGTCTTAGAACCTACAGAAGTGATATATCCAGAAAAAAAGTCTTACTGTTTCTTTTACTTACATGTAAGTTGAACAATCTTAGTTGATTGAAGGTCTATTTTTCTCACTGATTCACCTCTATTTGATGGTAGAAAACAAGTACTTTAAATATAGAATAGCTAAAAAAACTGTCACAATTTTTTAAGATTTACTTCTGGATGACTATCGTCTAATTTTTAAAATTGTGTTGGCTAATAATTCTGAATAATCAATCAGTAAGAATGAAAACTTCAGCAGTAGGTTTTGACACTTTTCCTCAATGAATTATAGTTCTTTTAGGGGACAGCTTTATTGGAAGATGACTTGGATTTCCAAATGACTAGAAATATAGTACATAAAGTTGGCTTTGCTGAAGCTGATGAATATTGTCAAGTAAAGTTCGGTGGACATTTACTCTCAATTAGAAGCTATGCTCAAGGCGAGACTTTTAGAGGTATGGCTACCTTGGTTACATTCTCAATCTTGACGATTCTTTTAATTTTTCTGCACATGTTAGACCAAAAATGATGTGACTTTACTGTTGTTATTCATTCTTGCAGTAACTTAACAACGATGATGGTTTGAAAACATTCTGAAAGCTTAAGAAACAGTGTAAAGGAAGTTATAATTTTTGTCAGTACTACGTATGACTACAGTTTATCAACTAAAAGAAGGCTTCATGTAACGACGAATATAACAGCCATTTAGACATAATTCGTGTTCACAGAGTGACATATAGATTGCTGCTTGGCGCATATAAAAAAGAGTCCGAATTCATGTATACAGATGGTACTTCAACAGCATATTTGAAGTATTTCTATGATAAAATGCCTAACACAACGAGGCCACTATGTCTCTATTTTGCAATGACCATGAATGGTACTGTCACCGTTTGCGACTTCTTCCCATTCCCTCATAACTTTAACAAGGCAACAGTAATATATTCAATATAGGGTTGTCGTTTGAGCCATATTCGACAGAACAGAAATTGATCAAATTGTGGAATAATCAATTAAGCATTATTCAGGTTTCTTCAAAGAATTTCTATTTTTATAGTTTTTGTGCCTCGTCTATCAAATGAAGTTTTGCTTACCCTTCCGTAACAGTATTCATAAATAAGACTAGAAAAGAGTTCTTAAATTTTTTTGGCTTGTTGCCTCTTTTAAATAAAAGTCTTTTCACTACCAATTATGTCAACCCTTGCTCTCTCCTTATTTACTTCTGTGGTCCTACTCACTATTTTTAAGTTTACTGCTCAAATTCAAATGTAAACAGTTGACGTGAATAGTTGTTGAACTGTTTACTCCGAAGTCCAGTGTTTAATTTTTCTGTTCGACACAGAATTATAATTATCTTGTTTTTTCTTCAAATTTTGAGGCTTAGCAAACTAAATTTTTAGCTGCTTACTTTATTTTAATTGTTTCTTAATGTTGTTAAAAAAGAAACAATGAAAACCTTCGAAATAGATTCCTCTGATATCCTTATTTTATATAGGGCATTTTCAGGGTTTATTGAAATCAATGATTGCGAGCCACAAGAGTTTTTTGTGTGTTTAGCACCGGTACTGCCTAATTACATGATAAAAGCTGTAAGTTAAAATTACAGTAAAGTAGTTATATAGCTATATTTTTTCAAAGAATTTTTATGCGTTGCTAAGTTACTGAATGAATATATAATAAAATGCATATCAATATCTCCAGCTTTGCCTAATTTTGTAAAAAAGAATGCTGATTTTATGATCGCACCCCATTTTACTGTTCCAGGTGACTACTGAGGCAATTACCACGTACAGTTAGCTTTCCTATTTCTATTCACTTAGTGTTTTTTCTTTGACTTTTTCTTTCAGATTTTTTGTTTATCTTCAATTTAAGAATAAAGTTTTTATGTTACTTATACACAGATAGTGCAAACACTTAGGAATGTCTGTTGAAGCTTTGAAATAGTAATTCGGAATTTTTTGTTCTTTTTTTTTTGTTTTTCCAGGTGCTAGAGGACATTGTATGCCAACGCCAAATACCGCGTATGTAGCGATGCCACTAATTGTTTCAATTGATACACTTTACACATACTGTCTTCATGATACTTTTGTATGTTATTTATTTTGAGGGAAAATAATTTGACGAAACTCAAAACTTTTTGGTCAGCTTTTTTCTATTTTTTTTACTAAGAATTTTACGAGGATGTTAATACAAATCCACTGATTTAGCTGAAACAGTTTGAGCAACATATTAACATTAAAATGTTTCATTAAAAATTTTTGAGTTTTTTTACACTAAATGTTTATTAATCAGTAACTGTTGGTTATAACAACGTTTTTATATAGATTAAAAAAGTGAAACATTTTTTTAGTGGAAAGTATATCAAAATTCTAAGAAACTTCAAGGTTTTCATACTTTATTTTTTAAATAAACAAAAACTTTTATCTAACTTTTACAACACTGAAATGTAGGTGGAAGATATAGTTATTGACTCGCTAGAAACTGCACGGGTTTATTGTGAGGCGAAATTTCATGGTCAACTGTTGACTATAAACGATGAAGCGGAAGCAAGATTCGTTGCATGTGAGCAGACAGCAGCTTTTATTAATTTTAGCATTGCTTATTTCTACTGTAAAGTTATTTTAATTGTTCTGACTTTACAATGTGTTTCATTGAATTTTTTAACACTTTTCTTTCTTACAGCTCAAGTGTTTGATGACTTTGATCAAGCTGCACCAAAACGGTACAGCATGAGACTGCTGGATATTCAAATTAATGGTACGTTAGACGGCCTAGTCGCTAATACATTCATGTATAAAAAAGTAGTCACAGACGATAACCCAATATACGATATGAATGGACGTTGTGTTGCTCTTGTTAGATCTTATACAGATCAATCAGGTACTCGCAGTTTTGTCATCTACGTCGTTTTATTTTGTTGCGCTCACTTACAAATACAGATTGTTTTAGCGAAACGTAGCTGTTGTTCCAAACTGCTCCAGTAATTTAATTTTTTGATTTAGACCATATATGGATTGTTCACTGTAATCGTCGTTGGAGGTACATAACTTGCAAAGCACGTAACTATACAGTGCTGAGCAGGTTTAACAGTGAAGCCTATGATGTGTTGGAACGAAAAAGCAGTAGCACTTTAGAAGTATAACTGACGGCTAATGCTATTTATCAGTAACACTTATTCTGAGCTACTAACAAAATAATTTCTTGCTATATACACGATTACTTAGAGTTTTAACGATTGAATGAGAAATAGTTTTTATCTGCTAAACTTTAAATAGCACAAAATATAATGTAATTAGTTATTTTAGCAATATCTTCGTTATTTGCGGGATCAAATAGGTAATAGAGCTGCTTTTGGTCCTCAGCCTTTCTTCCAAGTTCGGTGTAAGTATTTTTTTAAAGTTTTTTTGAATCATTTTAGAACTTCTTCAATCTAGCACTTAAACAGAATACAGCAAAATAAATTAATAACTCGAGTTTTTCCAGAAAGTGAATGATTATATATTCATTAAGGTAGCTTTACTGTAAAAATAAACGCAGCACAGTGTTTCCAAATTTACAAAGTTTACTGATAGATGGTCTAATGAAAGATGGTACCGTGTAGTTCACGCAAAAGACAAAATAAAAAGTTTGTCTAAAATGAATTTATTACTTCCTTTTGAAGAAAAGCTTTTATTTGTCGTTCTTCCGGCTATATAAGAGTTCCAAAGTGATTACTCTAACTTTCATCATCATTTTTCAAAAGCGCTAAACAAGCTACTATTCACAGTAATATAAGCCATGATAGCAGGTTTCAAAATATTTGAAAGTTTCATGCCCACCATATACGTTAGATACCGTCATACTTTAGTGTCTTCTCTTTATTAATTCAAGGTATATCTCAAATAAGAAAAACATCAGTTGAATTGGAATTGAAACACGACTACAGAAATCTGGATTTGAATTTTCTAAATGAAACAAATCTCAAAGTAAATTCAGCCATGACGGCAATCAGCTGTATAGAACTATGAAACTTGTAAAGGTGAAGAACGCAAAGAAAAGTGCAGGATTTTAATGAATTCAGATAACTGCAAAGAGAACATTGGACAGGCATTGACTGGAAACGTAGGGTAGATAAAGGTTTTGTAGATTTCTTTGCTGAACTATGTTATAAGTCAATTAAATGTTTGTGAGCATACAGTTTTCAAGTGGACGATGTAGGTGTTGATGATCTTTATTAGCCAGCAAAATCTTGTTTTAATGCTTCAACTGCTAGTAGTGTAATTTTTGAAGTGATTCTGAGACATTTTTAGATCACTGCAACAGTCAAACCTTTAAATTTTTTTTACTTTACCTGGTTTCCAAGTGTTAACTCATTTCTAATAATTAAGAATTTGATCTACTAAAGCACTATGTAGCAGGCAGGTCAGAAGCCAGCTGGAACACGGCTTTTGAAAATTTCAAGAAATGTGAGATATACGTTACTGGTAAACGCTAAAGAACATTACTTTTAGCAGAAACATTTCAAACTAAAAAATTTTGAGCAAATTTAAGGCTGGAGAAAGAAATCTGTGACTAGGTAAATTTCAAGTAGTTTTGTTTTCAAGGGTTGACGCAGATGATTACTGGCTTACTTGTGGTGGTCGTTGTAAGTCTGATCGCAATCTTAATTGCAATTAAAACCAGCGAACTTATTCTTTACCTACATTATTTGAAGAGTAAGTTGGACCTTCCGGAGAGCACATTTGATAGAAAGAAACGTACCAGTGAGTTGTTATTTATGACTTTTAAAATCTTAAAGTGTTATAGCTTTTTACTCGGTTACAGCAAGCTTATTACAATACTCAGTTTTAGAAGTTCGTGGTATTGTAAACGCGACTCTTAGCCGTACGAAAAGACTGAATTGAGCAATACCTCATTCTGGCGGTGGCTTCCAAAATATCGACAAAACTACAAGTTCTGCTGATTCTAAGACGCGGCTGACAACCTAAAACAAATTAAGCTATGTTGATATTTGTTCTCTAAAAAACCAACCAGTATTTGATTCCTGAAAAAGCTTATTGTTCTTGTATAGAAAAAAAAAACAAAAAAAAAACGTAAGTTTTTAAAAGCTAGAATTAGAAAGCATTTTTAAAATTCCAAAGGTCGGAAAGTTGTTTTGTTGATAAAATGTCGTTCAGCGTTTTTCTGTTATTTTTCTCAATTAACAGATGGTTTTGGCTTTTTTGCGACTTGACTCAGAACTAACACAGCATTAGATTAGAAAATTGTTGTTGAGTGTTCTTTTTTTTGCGCCAGTTATGTTTGAAAGTTTTTTTTTTGCTTACATTTATGCAATTTTTCTTATTTTTTTCTGCATTGTACAGTTTGGTTGCAATAAATTAAGTTTAAATTTTTGTGCACAAAAACAGTGGTTGAAGACAAAACAGTAACACTGAACGACTAAACGCCAATCTCTTTAATTTTTTTACATACTGCTCAATTTCTCTTAAAACTTCGTTCTAGAGTCTTTATTTTGTACTTGCATCGCGCTTCTTCATATACATAAGACTAGCGGTATTATTTGTGCCATTGTCAGAGTTAATGCTGATACTGTTATATAAATTTGTTGTTGAAAATAAAAACTTTGTACAAGCAACAAAAAATTACAACAAGATTAAGTAAGCGAAAGTCAGCAAAATGTTGTAAAGGTAAAGCAGCAAAATCAATAATAATATGGTATCTTCCTTGAAAGAATTTTTGATGGAAATAAACTTATCATATGGAAACATTTGCTTTGCTTCTCGTTAAGCAAAGGCAGTCTTTCCACTAAGTGCTAAATGTGCTTATACTGAAACTAACTGACCAAATCAGTTTAGACGAGCAAAAAGTAGCTGCTTTCAAGTATGATTAAGCGATTTTGCTAATCTATTTTTTTTATTTTGGCAATAAAAAATGATGATAATTAGATAAGTGCATAAAAAATTTGTTTCAACATAAAAAAATCGTATGCATGCAAAACATTTTATATACGAATACAAACTAACTTAAAAGAACAACACTCAAAAGTCAAAAACCGACCAATTGGTCACTAATAGTGACTAGCTCAATTGTTCATTCTAACGGCTGTATAGCCCTTCCAGAACAGGCATCATGAATGGATAGGAATCGAGTTAGAATCAAATCTGTAGAAAACATCGCTTTTGAAGAAATAAAACTTTTTCAGCAGCTAGACACTTTATTTTAATAGAACCTTTAGTGGCAGGTTGGTAATGAAAAACTCCATGAGTGTCAAATAGCAGTCTTTGTGATACAATAAAAGTAATGGTAATTTTCTATCTAATTTACGTTTTGAATCAAGAAACTAAAAACAAGCAGAATAAGCATCAAACAGAGTTAAAAGATTATTGTAACGTTAAAGATTTCGTTTTGTAAAGTTTTGGATAAATTTTAGTTTTATTTCATCTGCTTTTGAGATGACATTTGTGACTTAATTTACAACGGACTGTTACTGCACGAAACGTGTTTAACGAGTCATCTCATCACATCAATGTTATCCCGTGCATCCGGGAACGTTTGAAGAATTCTGGTCTAAATAAATGAGTTTAATTCGGTTGTTTATATGGCTTTCGTTTACTGCTTATAAAGTTTGTATGCATTTTTTTCTGCTTTTTTTTTGTGTTTTTATTGAAATACTGATAGTGATTTAAAAATAAGTAAGCAAAACCTTTGTTTCAAAATGTATGGTTTAAAAAATGCTTTGCA